TGGCACAGGGATCCATCCCTCAGTGCTGGGATTGACCTGGAATTCCAGAATCCCTGGGAATTCCCCCTATTTTATCCCATTCCCAGTTATCCAGTGGCACAGGGATCCATCCCTCAGTGCTGGGATTGACCTGGAATTCCACAATCCCTGGGAATTCCCTCCTGTTCTATCCCATTCCCAGTTATCCAGTGGCACAGGGATCTATTTCTCAGTTGTGAGATGATTTGGGATTCCAGAATCCATTGGAATTCCCTCCTGTTCTGTCCCATTCCCAGTTATCCCGTGGCACAGGGATCCATCCCTCAGTTGTGGGATGATTTGTACTCCAGAATTCCCAGGAATTCCCTTCCCAGGGCTCTGGGAACAGGAGTTAATTCCATTTTTTTTGTCTATATTTGTTTATGGAAGAGGGAGTATTCCAGCTCCCCCTCCCGTTAAACCCCATTCCCAGTTTTCCAGTGGCACAGGGATCCATCCCTCAGGTGTGGGATGATTTGGGATTCCAGAATCCATTGGAATTCCCCCCTGTTCTATCCCATTCCCAGTTATCCAGTGGCACAGGAATCTATTTGTCAGTTGTGAGATTATTTGGGATTCCAGAGTCCATTGGAATTCCTTCCTGTTCTATCCCATTCCCAGTTATCCAGTGGCACAGGGATCCATCCCTCAGTCCTGGAGTTGACCTGGGATTCCAGAATTCCCAGGAATTTCCCTTCTCAGGGCTCTGGGAACAGGAGTTAATTCCCTTTCTGTTCATCCCTCAGGTATGGAATGATTTAGGAATTCCAGAATCCTTGGGAATCCCTCCTATTTTATCCCATTCCCAGTTATCCAGTGGCACAGGGATCCATCCCTGAAGTGTGGGATGATTTGTGCTCCAGAATTCCCAGGAATTTCCCTTCCCAGGGCTCTGGGAACAGGAGTTAATTCCCTTTCTGTTCATCCCTCAATCCTGGGATTGACCTGGAATTCCAGAATCCATTGGAATTCCTTCCTATTTTATCCCATTCCCAGTTATCCAGTGGCACAGGGATCTACCCCTTAGTTGTGGGATTGACCTGGAATTCCAGAATCCATTGGAATTCCTTCCCATTTTATCCCATTCCCAGTTTTCCAGTGGCACAGGGATCCATCCCTCAATGCTGGGATTGACCGGGAATCCCACAATCCCTGGAAATTCCCCCTGTTTTCTCCCATTCCCACTTTTCCAGCAGCACAATGATCCCCCTCCCTCATCCCACATCCCGAACCCCCAAAACCCCCGAATTCCTTGGAATTCCTTGGAATTTTTGCCGGGTTTTTTTGGCCTTGCCGGGCCGGGAATTTTTCCAACATTCCCGACCCGTATTCCCGGTTTTCCCTGGCAGACCTGGGCTCCCGAGGGGACGTGGTGAGCGTCAGGAAGAGCCTGGGCAGGAACAAACTCCTTCCTCAGGGATTGGCCGTGTATCCGTCCCCGGAAAACCTCCGGAAATTCCAGGAGGAAAAGAGGGTGAGCGGCTCCAAAAGGGGCCTTTTCCAACCTCTCCCAACCCTTGGAAAAGCGGGAATTCCCTGGCAAAGAGCAGGGATTGGGCTCCCAAACCTCTCTGGGATCTCCAGCCCTGCTTTTTTCCCATTTTCCTTCCTCAATCCCAGTTTTTTCCCCCTGAATTCCTGTTTTTTCCCCACTTATCCTCCCCAATCCCTTTTTCTCCCATCTTTCCTCCTCCATCCCCATTTTTTCTCCTCAATCCAATTTTTCCCATTTTCCCTCTTCAATCCCTGATTTTTTCCCACTTTTCCTTCTCAACCCCAAGTTTTCCCATTTTTCCTCCTCTATCCCTGTTTTTTCCCCATTTTCCCTCCTCAATCCCTGATTTTTTCCCATTTTTCCTTCTCAATCCCTTTTTCTCCCATTTTTCCCCCTCCAACCCCAATTTTTCCCATTTTCCCTCCCCAATCCCATTTTTTCCCCATTTTCCCTCCTCAGTCCCAGTTTTTTCCCATTTTCCCTCCCCGGAAAACCTCCAGAAATTCCAGGAGGAAAAGAGGGTGAGTGACACCAAAAGGGGCCTTTTCCAACCTCTCCCAACCCTTGGAAAAGTGGGAATTCCCTGGCAAAGAGCAGGGATTGGGCTCCCAAAGCTTTTTTTTCCCATTTTCCCTCCTCAATCCCTGGGTTTTTTTCCCATTTTTCTTCCTCCCAATTTTTTCCCATTTTCCTTCCCCAATCCCTTTTTTTTCCCATTTTTCCTCCTCAATCCCAGTTTTTTTCCCATTTTTTTCTTCTCCATCCCTGTTTTTTTCCCACTTATCCTCCTCAATCCCTGTTTTTCCTACTTATTCTTCTCAGTCCTTGTTTTCTTCCCATTATTCCTCTTCCATCCCTGTTTTTTTCCCACTTCTCTTCCTCAACCCCAAGTTTTCCCATTTTTCCTCCCCAATCCCTGTTTTTTTTCCTCATTTTCCCTCCCGAATCCCAGTTTTTTCCCATTATTCCTCTTCCATCCCTGTTTTTTTCCCACTTATCCTCCTCAACCTCAAGTTTTCCCATTTTCCCTCCCCAATCCCATTTTTTCCCATTTTCCCTCCCCATCCCCATTTTTTCCCCATTTTCCCTCCTCAACCCCAAGTTTTCCCATTTTTCCTTCTCAATCCCTGTTTTTCCTACTTATTCACCCCAATCCCTGTTTTTTTCCCATTATTCCTCTTCCATCCCTGTTTTTCCCCATTTTCCCTCCTTCATCCCATTTTTTTTCCCACTTTCCCTCCCCATTCCCTGTTTTTTCCCATTTTCCCTCCCCAATCCCATTTTTTTCCCTCTCCATTCCCAGTTTTTCTCCATTTTCCCTCCTCAATCCCAGTTTATTCCCAGTTTTCCCTCCTCATTCCCATGTTTCCCTTCCAGGAAGGGAAGTTGGAAGTTCTCCAAACCCGGAGCGGGGAGAAGGTGAGTTGGGAATTCCCGGAATCCTGGAGCCTCCTGGGCCCTTCCCAGGATTCCCACTGGGAATGTTGGGGCTCTTCCCACTTTTCCAGACCCTGAAATTCCTGCGGAAATCCCGCCTGGAAGTTGGGATGAAGAACAACGTCAAGTGGGAGCTGAATCCCGAGATTGTGGCCCGGCACTTCCTGAAAAATGTGAGACATTCCCAACATTCCCGACATTCCCAACATTCCCAGCACCCAAATCCCGGGATTTGGCCCTTCCCAGCCCCCAAATTCCCTGTTTTCTGGGATCATTCCAGGCATTCCTTGGAATCATTCCCGGCATTCCCTGATTTTTGGGGTCATTCCCAGCATTCCTTGGGATCATTCCCAGCATTCCCTGATTTTTGGGGTCATTCCTGGGATTCCTTGGGATCACTCCTGGCATTCCCTGATTTTTGGGGTCATTCCCGGCATTCTTTGGGGTCATTCCCAAGATTCTTTGGGATCATTCCCTCCATTCCCTGATTTTTGGGGTCATTCCCTGCATTCCTTGGGGTCATTCCCAAGATTCTTTGGGGTCATTCCCAACATTCCCTGGGGTCGTTCCCGGGATTCCTGGGGCTCATTCCTGGAATCCTTTGAGGTAATTTCTTGGATTCCCTAATTTTTGGGGTCATTCCTGGGATTCCTTGGGGTCATTCTTGGGATTCCTTGGAGTCATTCCTGGGATCCTTTGGGGTCATTCCCAGCATTCTCTGGGGTCATTCCCAGGATTCTTTGGGGTTATTCCCAACATTCCCTGATTTTTGGGGTCATTCCTGGGATCGCTTGGGGTCATTCCTGGGATCCTTTGGGTTCATTCCCTGCATTCCCTGATTTTTGGGGTCATTCCCAGGATTCGTTGGGATCATTCCTGGAATCCTTTGGGTTCATTCCCAGCATTTCCTGATTTTTGGAGCCATTCCCGGGATCCTTTAGGCTCATTCCTGGGATCCCTTGGGCTCATTCCCGGCATTCCTTGGGGTCATTCTTGGGATCCTTTGGGTTCATTCCCTGCATTCCCTGATTTTTGGGGTCATTCCTGGGATTCCTTGGGGTCATTCCCAAGATTCTTTGGGGTCATTCCTGGAATCCTTTGGGTTCATTCCCTGCATTCCCTGATTTTTGGGGACATTCCTGGGATCCTTTGGGCTCATTCCCGGGATTCCTTGGGGTCATTCCTGGAATCCTTTGGGTTCATTCCCTGCATTCCCTGATTTTTGGGGACATTCCTGGGATCCATTGGGCTCATTCCTGGGATTCCTTGGGGTCATTCCTGGAATCTTTTGAGTTCATTCCCAGCATTCTCTGATTTTTGGGGACATTCCTGGGATCCTTTGGGCTCATTCCTGGGATTCCTTGGGGTCATTCCTGGAATCTTTTG